TAAGTTATCAATATTATTTTAAAAATTTCTAAAAAATTTTCAATATTAAAATTCATTTTGAAAATTATTTTTTAATAAAAATTCAATTTTAGCTTGTCTCAATTAAAAACTTAATGGTTGTTCCCGAGTCGCCCAACAGATCAGAATGGTCTGGAACTATTGAATATAAACTTAAATTTGTAAATGGATCAACTTTGCAAATATTACAACAACAACAAAATAACCAAATTCAACCTTTTTTAAATAATCAACAACGCGGAATTGGTACTGTCCCTACCCCATCAGGTTTACACCAAGAACAACAACCTTGCACTTCTGCTGAAGCTTTGCGTTATGGTGGGCCTCCTCCTTTACGTGGACAGTTTACGGATGATGAGGAGGATGATGAAGATGATTTAACGGTAAATTGAAAAAAGTAAAAAGAATACATCTATTAAAACACATTTTTCAAAAAGAAACAATTCGTATCACTTAATAAAAGATATATCTTTTTAATTAAAAAATTAAATACATTTTAATATAAATTAATTACTTATTAATGACTATATAGAATTAAATTTAATCAAATTTGCATTTATCCATGTTTTTTACTATTAAAATCAATAAAATTGTATTTTTAATTATTAATAAAAATGAATAAAAAATTTTTTGAAAATTGAAAAAAATTTTGTTTTTAGTTAATTAACATTCATATTAATTCAAATTAAATAAAATTTAAGTTTTTTTTCTCAATTAAATTAAAAAATTTTTTAAAAAAAAATGTTTTTAAAATTAACAAAAATTTTGGAAAATGAAAAAAACTAGTGATCGAAAATGTTGAAATTTGTTTTAATAGTTGTATTGTTAAGTTTAAAAAATCCATACAAAAAATACTTTTAAGCAAATCCGTGCATTAGCCGCTGTCATTAATTCCTGTCCAATACCTCCGACTTTACATGTGAAAAAAATTCAAATATTTATTTAATAAAAAATAAAAGTTAAATTTTAATTTAGCAATTGGCTCCGTGCGAGGCTACTGCACATGTCGAGTTCAATCAAATGTTTAATACACAAGTATATATAAAAATAATTTTTTACGTAAAAACAAAATTATTTTTAGGAGACTCAGGTCTCTCAAGCGCCTGGATCATCAAATGCATGTGGTGAAAATACAGAAACACAAACTCATGTATGTTTGTTATCTTAAAGTTATAAGATGCTGTTAGCTTAGAAAACAAGTCTCCTCTATCCTAAATTATAGAATTCAACTATCGGCCGTACTCCTCCGGCTACACAAAATGATGTTTTCGATTCTAATTGGGAAAGATCTTTTGGGTTTCATCCTCCTGGTGGTTTAAATTTATGTGAAAGAAATTCTTTGCTTATTTCACGAGTAAAACTCTCATCAACATATAAACCAGAGGAAGATGAGGAAAAATGTCCCATATGCATTGAGGGTTTTTTACCTGGCCAAAGTGTAATTTTTTTACCTTGCTGCCATAAGATCCACAAAACCTGTTTTTGGAAGTTATCTAAAGATTATAGATGTTGTTCTATATGCAAAATGGATATGTCTAAGGGAATTTACTATAGGAATTAGTTTTTAATTGGCTGTCTTGTTGTCCAAATATAAAACTATGTAATATAAAGCCATATGACATTATAATTTTAAACTTATATTTGGACAACATTTTTTAATAAAAATTTCAGAAATTTAATTCCCAATCTTAAAACCACTTTAAAAATGTTGTCCAAATATAAAACTTATTATACAAATATAAAACATGTAAAATAATATAAAACTTATATTTGGACAACATGTTCTGGTACTTATAGGGTTTTGGGCCGCTGGAAAAAAATTGTATCTTTTCCTTAATTCTAATGTTTGATAATATTGGAGAAAAATTATTTTTCCTTGATTAATGTCTATAATTTGAATTTGTCACAGGGAAGTAGAGAGAAAATGAGAAAGGGAAAATGCCGAACATTATTACATATTAAGGAAAAATAGAATTTTTTTCCACCGGACCCAAACCCTATAATACCCATTTTTTAATTCAAATTCTATAAATTTAATTCCCAATCTTAAAGCCACTTTAAAAATATTTTGTCATTAAATTTATTGCTGTTAGAATGCTTTTAATTTTATTTTTCTCTGCCTTTTAAATAATTTTAGTTGTTTGCCTTATCAAATTATTTTTAGTAATAATATAACAATTCACTAATTATTTTTTTAAGGATTTTTTTTTAAATTAGTGAATTGTTATATTATTCTTATTATAATATGTATTTCCTTTGCCTTAAATAAATTTTTATAATTTTATTTATTTAAAAAATTATTAGGTAGTAAGAAATTAAAGTAAAATGTTCTAGTAAGTAGTAAGTCCTCGCTTCAGTTTTGTCGTTCCCAATTAAATAACTATCTTCCTTAAATAAAGATAATGAATCTTGTCCTGATATGCTCATACCCTTATTGAGTTATTTTAATCTGCGCGCATTTTTCAAATTGAATTTGTTTATAAATAAACTTTCAATTTCAATTTAGATTGAAAACATGAGAAACTACTTTGTTATTGAAAGAATTGAACCATTCGCCTCTCAATCACGGAATACTCGTGGTGAGATTGCCCACATCAGATTTAATAATCTGGCAGATCATCCCCGACCTGACTTGGCTCTAACTACACTTATTGAACAACTTTTGGATCGGGTGCTCAATGGAAGGCCAGCGCCTCTCCGCGTTGGTCTTCAGGTGCAACCCCCAAATTTCCATCACCCGTTTACCGTGCCACTCCGGCCATTGGAACAAAATAATGCTTCAGCATTAGCCGCAGCTATTGAGAGATTGAACGAAATATCCCAGGCCGGGATAGACCTTCTCTCAGGAACAACAACAACAAAAGTTGTAGCTGTATGGCCTTTAACTGGTCAACGCACTAATAATCCTGCAACACATTCGGGTAGGTTCATACTAGTCTTACATTTTTTTAAATAAATGTAAGGCAGTCATGTTCCTACAGGTAGTTGCAATCTTGACCAAGAACATGCTGTGTCTTCTCGATGTCGTTCAATTGTGCGCGTCCGCAATCCAAACGACCGCTACTGTCTTGCGCGTGCAGTAGTGATTGGACTTACAAAAATTACCCTTGTTGATCAAGGTGATGCTTCTAATGGATCAACTCATTTTAGAACTTTTTGTCAACAACAAGAACAACATTTGATATTTGTAAATTATTTAATGAATATATCTGGACTTCCAAATCAATTACAAGTATTATTTGAGTACATTTCTGATTTATTTTTTATAGGAATATTCGCTTGAACATGTAGAGATTCTCCAACGATGGTTGAATCAATATTATGGAGAAGGGCATATACGTATTGTTGTTTTTCAAAAAGAGCAGCAGTACCGTATTGTGTTTAAGGGAGATGGAAGAGCAGCTCGTTATAATTTATGCCTGCTCTTGGAAAATCGTCACTACAATTACATTGGTCGCCCTGAACAACTTTTGGGAGTCAAGCGATATTGTATTGACTGCGAACGTTCTGTAACACGATGGTCACATTGGGCCGGTTGTAGTGTTGTGTGCCGGTTTTGTATGCGCACAGGTCCAGACTTTCCATGCCAGGTATACTTTTAAAACTTTTTATTCATATCAAATATTTATTAGGAAGAGGGAAGAATTCCATGTCAAAACTGCGGCTTCGTGTTTCCGCGACGTTCCTGTTATGATTATCATCTAATCAACTCTGCTCCAAATGAGATGATTCGACGTGATGCGCGTACATTTGCATCTATTTGCCAAATGAGACGGATCTGTAATAATTGTCATCATATTATTCTAGCTCAACAACACCACGATTGCCAACAACAACAACAACTACATCAAATTATTTGTAAAATGTGTAATGGTCCTCATACAGAGGAACAACCATGTTTTATTCAGCCATTAAAAGCTGAAGAGAATGAGGAAGAAGATATTACTGAAAATAATAATGAACAGCAACAGCAACAGCAACAAAGAGTAAGAAAACATCGACGTCCAATCCGTCTTTGTTTTTTTGACGCTGAAACAAGTCAGGATGACCCCGTACAAATAAGCCAAAATATTAATGGTTATAGACATGTACCTCTTTTGATTATTGCCGAGGTTAATTTTTTTTAATTAAATTTAAATATAGCTTGTTTATAGGTTATTTGTGAAGCTTGTATACGTGCTGGTATTAGTATTGAGGATGTTGGACAACGTGCTCAAGGGTGTTTTTGCGGCAATCCCAGGGGAGAACGATGGCGTAATTGGTGTTCCCCACCCTTCAAAAATGCTCCAGGCGATAACACCGCCTTTCCAAATAACATCACGTTCAATCATCGGCGTATGTTTTTCCATTCGTTTGACAACGCTGAAGATAATCCAGTGGACCAATTCTTAGACTACCTACTTAATCACGGTTCACAAAATATGTTAACAATTTGCATAGCCCATAATGGAGGAAAATATGATTTTCATCTGTTATTAGAAGCTCTTCATAGGCGAAGTCATCCGCCAACAAAATTATGTACAACAGGACTCAAAATCTATTCTATGAGTCTAGGAGGGTATCATCAGAGAAAAGTGCTTTTCAAAGACTCGCTAAACTACTTCTTTTGCGAGCTTGACGCACTTCCAAAGGTTTTTGCTTTGCCCGAGGATTTGGCTACTTCAAAGCCATTTTTTCCTTATCTTTTTATTCAAAGACAACATCTGCATCAGAGGATAAGAGGGCTCCCTGCAATTCAATACTATCTACCTGAATATAAGAAGGCTGAAAAGAGGGAGGAGCTCATTGAATGGTATGTACAACAAACATCCGTCCAAGCAACAAACTTCCAGCTTCGTGAACAACTAATTATTTATTGTTTAAATGATGTAGCGATTCTTCGCGAAAGTGTACTCCGATTTCGACAACTTATTGGAGAAAATACAAAGAATCTCGACCCTTTTTTGTCGGTATCAACGGCAGCAGGACTCGCTTTAACAACAATGCGTCGCTGCTTTTTACCAGAGAATTGGATTGTTCACTCGCCTGAAGGAGGTTATTTAAGAGGACGCCGAGCTTCAGCCGAATCGCAGCGATACATCCGCTTTTTTGAACTACAACATCCAGAGTCTGCAGGTCAAATTCAACATGCACAATGGGCAATTGGAGAAGCTCATGTTGAAGACTGCGGTTATAGACTCGATGGATTATGGCAAAGATCGCCTCCACTTCGCCCTTTAGCTATTGAATATATGGGATGCTATTACCACGGTATAATGTTTTAATAAATCTAATCAATTTTATTATAAATTTAAGGTTGTCCCGATTGCTTCCCAGTACGTAACCAAATCTTAGCAGCTGGGCGTACAGCCGAAGAGCTTTTTGAAAGAACCCAACAACGCCTATGGGAATTGGAGCATCAACATGGATATCAACTTCATGTAGTCTGGGGACATGAGATTAAAGAAAAGCTGAGTAACAACACACAATTACGAAGAAAATGGTTCGGTATTGACTGTGTTCGGCCTATGGATCCCAGAGAGGACTGCCTTAGAGGAGGAAGGACAGAACCCTTCAAACTTCACCACATGTGTGCTGAAGATGAAGAGATCCTTTACATCGATATTGTAAACATGAATCTAAATTTAAAAATAAATTATAAAAATTTTTAAGGTAAGTCTCTACCCTTATGTAATGAAGGCAAGATCTTTTCCTATTGGTCATCCAAATGTACTGACTCGAGACACGTTGCTTCTTCCACCAAACAACCCTTTGCCTTGGACAACTCCTGAGCATAACATCTATAAGGGGTTACTTCTTGTTCGAGTTCAACCTCCGAACTTTATGAATGGAAATCTTCCACCAGTTCTTCCATACAGAACTCATGATGGGCGACTCACGTTTCCTCTTTGTGCAAAATGTGCTGATAACAGACAACAGCGGCCTTGCACTCATGGAGAACGTGAACGTTCCTGGCTGACTGGTTATACCCATGTGGAGCTTAATTATGCTTTGGAACGTGGATATAAAGTCGTCGACATTTATGAGGTAACAATATAATAATCATAACTATAACTTAATTTGGTATTTAGGTTTGGAATTATGAAAAATGGGATCCGAATCTATTTCGATCCTATGTCAACACATTTATTGGATTAAAGCAACAGGCTAGTGGATGGCCAGATGGTTGTGCGACAGAGTTGGACCGAGCTGAATACCTAGCTGAGTTTGAGCGAGTGGAAGGGATCTTCCTTAACCCGGAGAAGATTGAAACAAATCCAGGATTGCGAATGATTGCGGTGAGTTAACTTAGAAAAAAAAAATAAAAATAAATTAAATTTTCAGAAATTATTAGCAAACTCGCTCTGGGGAAAACTGGCGCAACGAGTTTGTGGAACTGAAGTTCGATATGCCAAAACACCGGCAGAGTTTCACCAATTGTTAGAAGACCCAACAATTGATATGCTCGACTTTGATCATGTCAGCGAGCATTTGGACCGTTGTGTTGTGAGGAAGAAGCCCGAATTTGCCAAAGCACCAAATACCAACTGCATCCCAGTAGCAGCATACGTCACTTCATATGCTCGACTCCATCTATATGAGTATATTGAACAAGTACATCAAATTGGCGGCGTTCTCCTGTACTGCGATACTGACTCCATCATCTATGTCGGCAAGCGTAATGGTCCGCGTGTACTTGAAGGCGAATATCTTGGACAAATGAAGCGTGAAATTCCATCACGCCGAATTCTGGAATTTATCGCAGGAGGGCCGAAAAACTATGGCTACCGACACGTCGACGCAAGTACAGGATTAGATGAGAGAGCAGAGCTTAAGATCCGCTCATTCCCGCTCTCTTATGCTACTCATCAGCTTCTAAACTTCAACACTATGAAACAACTTGTGTTGAATCAATTCAATGTTGATGGGGCAGTGTGAGTTTATAAACTAATTTAAAGAAAATAAAAATTATATTCAGTGATGACACAATTGCTGATGATGTCTTTTTCGTTGGTAATTCAATTGGTGTACAATTCCCTCAAATTGGAAGAACTCGTCGGTCTCAGCTTTACACCCATCTGGCCAGGAAGGAATACAGGCCGTGTTATGAGAAAGGCAGAATTATGCCTGGAATGGAAACCCTTCCTTTTGGACATAGAAGAAATAATTTGGTTATTTAAATTATTTAGCTTTTTAAAAATATATTATTTAAAGACATCAGCAGGACAGAGGCCTCAACAGAAACGACCAATTACATCGACAACACCACCACCAACTACAATTGATTTAAATTTACAAGATTTACCTGGATCTTCAGGTTGGACAGAAACTGATTATAGAAATAGATATTGTTCTTAATTATATTTTTATTAAAATTTGTTTATTCTGTATATATTTCTTTGAAATAAAAAAATTATTTACGTGGAAATTGTCTAATATTAGGTAAAATATCATTGTTAAAAACATTTTTCATTTCATGAATAGATTTTATTCCGGTCAGTATGACACGTCCTGAGATGTAACATAGGCATGACGCTTCTCCATCTCGTTCTTCCATTTTTATTTTGAATCGGAGCGCAGGAAAAATTGTTGGGTCGTAATTGGCTTTCATATTTTGTTGTCGAAGTTGTTTAAATAATTGCTCAATTCCTAGTTTGTGTTCATGTTTGTAGGCTCCGACAATATTCGTAATCAAAAGATTATTAATTCCAATTTTCTGGAAATTTCCTGCCGCAGTATTGGAAGCTCTAATACTTTTGACAACTCTCCATGCTGTTTCATTTGCTAGTTCTGGAGTAGGAACACCTGTTAAAACTACTTTTCCTGATTGAAATATTAGTGCCGCCGTTGTTTTATTTCCTTTGTGTCTTAGTCGCATAATTATCGAATGGAATTTTTTAGGATTATATTCTGTATTAATTCCAAATCTTGCAAGCTTTAAATAATTTTCGGAGGAGAATTTAACATTATCCTTAAAGAGCTTGAATACAACAGTACAATTATGGATTTGCATAATATTTACTTACTAAAAATAAAAACAATTTAATTGTGAATTGAAAAATAAATCAATTTATATTTGGATTATAACTTTTTATCTATCTAATTACATCCTCCTTTCATCTTGTTTTTGATTACACAAAGAACTTCAAGAGGGTAAAATGATCGATGATGTCCTCCACCAAACTCAATAATACATGGTAGGTATGGATGACAAAGTTTGAAATTATGCTTTACATAATAATATCCACGGACCTAAAAAAGAAATGATATTATTATTTTGAATAAAAGCTTACGGTTATGCCCAAATAACCATTCATTGCTGGAACAATACTTGCTGATTGCACTGTAAGATCATGACAATGTACTAAAAAGTTGCGACACGCGGGTTTGAGATGGGATGTTCTTAGCTGGACACTTTGACGTAGATGTTCAACAATTTGACGACGAGCATCAAGATTATGGAATAATACATGTAATTCCTTGAACGAACAATTTTGTAGTTGGCAAAGATATTCAATTAATGGTATAGGCATATGTGTTTTTAAACTTATTGATGTTGTTGGCTTTTTAAGTTGCATATATTCATTTTGCTTTGCTGGCGGGGGTGGTGTAGGTTCACGAAAAGGGTTTTCTGGTTCAGCGGTCCAATCCAAAGGTTTATCGTCTTGAGTAATTCGAAGGATTTTTTCGCTTGTATCTATATTAATTTCATCTTCAATTTGGTCGTCATCCATTTTATCTTCTGTTATGTCATCCATTATTGTAAGCAAGCCAAAAGCCGGAGTAATAACATCAACACCTTTCTAAAATTTAAATTTTAATATTTAAGTATTTAATTTATTTTACCTTTTCTTTCTCTTCAACTTCGTCTCCAGAGTCTTCAACCACTATTAATGGTGGTTGGTCCGTTTGAGCTTCGCTTGATGTATTTTGTTGTTGTTGTTCTGGTTCAGGGTCGTCTTCAATAACCCCCCAAACCATAAGAGTGAGAAGAAATTCCATTACTTTCATTTTGTTAATTTTGAAATTCTAAAATCTATATATACTTATTTATAGAAATTAAATAAAATTTTAAAATGTCAGGTTTTGAAAAATTTGATTTAATACATTCACGATTCAAGCACCCTTTTACAATGATTGTATCGGGGAGTACAGGATCTGGTAAATCAGAATGGGTTAAAAAATTTCTGGAAAACTTGTCCGAAATGATTCCAGATGACAATGAGGGAGAATATCAAATTGATTTGGTCTTATATTGTTATGGGGAGTTAAATAAAAATATTATACGTATGCAGAGAATGGGGTTTGTTAATAAAAATAAGACAAGGGTTATAGTTCATAATGGTCTGCCAGTAGGAGGTGAGGAATTTATACGTACAAAGGCCATTCAATCAAATGGAAAAATGTTGCTTGTACTCGATGACTTAATGGTTGGGATGAATCAAAATCTATTAGATACAATATTCACAAAAGGATCTCATAATTGGAAAATGAGTGTTATATTAATCGCACAGCATTTGTTTAGCAAAGAATTAAAAATAGCTCGTAATAATTCACATTATTTATTGTTAATGCGAAATCCTGCTGGAGCCTTACAGATAAGAACACTTGCGTCCCATTTGTTTCCTTCACGTTCAAAATATTTCTTAGAGGCGTATTCAGATGCTACTAAAGACAATTTTGGATATCTTTTAGTAGATATACATCCTAGTACACCTGAATTGTTAAGACTTAGAACACATATATATCGTGATGATGAGAGCAAAACAATAGTTTATATTCCAAAATGAGGAAAAAAATTTATACTAGCGATTTAATACAGCGAAATTTAAATTTTTTGCGTTCGATTTTTGATTGTTCGAAATCTAACAAAGTATTAAAAGAAGTACTAGAAAAGGCTTCAGATGAACAATTGTTATGTTTTGTGGAAATTTGTTTTAATTTATTAAAAGGACGTTTACCTTTTCATAAAAATAGAATTACAACTTTGCAAAAACATGCAAATTTGTTGCGTAAAATAAGTAGATCCAGAAGTGCCCCATCTACCAGAATTTTATTGCAAAAAGGAAATGGAATTCCACCGATTGCTGGACTTCTTGCCAGCCTTATCATCCCAATAATTACTGACAAAATTTTAAAATAATATAAATAAAAAAATTAACAATGAAATAATAAAGTTATGAAGAATGCAAATAGAATGTTTCTAATCCCCGAAGATATTTATAAAAATATAATTGGGGGTTTCGATGAGAATAAAGATTTACATTTAAGCGGAGATGGCACA